TGGGTGAGGTTAGCCGGGCACTGGGCATCAGGCAGCGAAGGACAGTGACCTCTAAGACGCAGAGGTCACATGGAGTCAGTCCGGTGCACGGCTCTCAGAGTCCCGCCTTGAGCAGCGTTTCCAGACTGTAATGCGGCAGGGAAACCCAGCTGAGCTCCAGAGACTCAGTTGAAGTGGAGCTAAGAGTCCTGGGAAATTGGCAGCACAGGCTCACCAAGAAGAGATGGTGCCTCAGAAAAAAAGTGTCTGCTGTCGGCCCCTTCAGATATTCATGCTTGTGAGGAAACTACCCAGGGCTGCAGAGAATCATCCAAAGGGATTGGCCAGAATGACCTTATGCTGACACAGGACCAATTCACGCACTCATAGCAACTCTAAAGGGCAGGGTTGAACTGCCCATGTGGGTTTCCGGGATTTTAACGCTTTTCGGGAGTAGAAAGCCTTCTTTCTCCCACAAAGCACCTGGTAGTTTAGAACTGCTGACCTTGTGGTAGGTATCCCAATATGTAACCCACTATGCTAACAGGGCTTCTGGGTAAGAATTAGGTCTAGGCTAAATGCTGCTCTCAAAGAGTTTTGCTGGTGCAGTAATTGAGTGCTAGACTGTTAACAAAAAAAGGTTGGTGGTTCCAAGGGAGAAAGGCCTGGTGATTTGCTTCCTCAAAGGTCACAGAGAAGAGAACTCAAAGGGGCAGTTCTGTTCCATCGCATGGGTTCACACACGCTGCTTTCCTCCCATCTAACATGTTCAGAGCAAGGCCCAAATCGTTCCCACATAATTTGAATTCCAGAACAAGGCTGGAGAATGTTCACAGGAATACCAAAATATTGAAGATCCAACAAGATAAGCTTATGATATGTCTAAAATCCACACAAAGATGATCAGGCATGTAAAGAAGCAGGCAACTATGACCCAGAAGGAGAGAAACTGATGATTAAAACCAACCCAGAACTGACAACCGAGGGTAAAATTAAAAGAGAATGGTTATTTTAATTGTATTTTGTACATTCAGAAAGGGAGCCCTGGTAGTCCTATGAGTTTAGCCTCAGGCTGCTAACCACAGGGATGGTTGGTTCAAATCCACCAGCTTCTCCAGGGAAAAAGGATGAGGCTGAATGTGTGTCTAAAGATTGATAGTCTTGCAGATCCTAGGTAAGATTGCTACAAATCAGAATTGACTAAATACCAAAGGGTTGCTGTTTTTTAAGATGTTCAAAAAGTTGAGCAGACCCCACACCGAAGTGAAACACAAAGGGAGTGCACCAGAGCAGCAAGGGGAGCGAAGCAACAAAGTCCACAGGGACCCTGAAAACAGACTTCATACCCAGAGGGCAGGGCTTGGCGCCTCAGCAGACTCGGTCTGAAAACACACATAAGGGTCCCCAGATAGACTTGGAACTGTTTCTAGGTTTTTCTTCTCCTTTTTTTCTTCTCATGTCTATTTATATAAGATAGGCAAGATAAACAATCCCAAAAACAATGGGACTGA